GTGTGCCCAGAGCCACCAGCTTGAGCACAAATGTCAGGGAAAGTGCCCAGGCCTGAGATCAAGCCCCAGGAGCCCCTGCCCCTCCCCAACAGCCCTGTCCTGTCCTCCCCTCCTTGGCACCCCCTACTGGGGAATCAATGAACAGCCCCCCCAGTGGTGGTGGAGCTATATCCTGAGGGGTGCAGTGAGGGCTGACTGTGGCCCCAGAGCCCCTGCTCCCTCGCCAGGTACCCCCACATGCCCACCCAGCCCCACAGGTCACCCCTGCAATGACAGCCCCTCAGACCTCTAGAGAAGCAGCCCGGGGGGTTCCTGACCTCCCTGTCCGTTCCCACCTCCTAAGCCCCACTGCAGACCAGGCTGCAGCCCCTGGGGTGCCGGGTGGGGGGGTCTGCGGGCTCCCTGCTCCCTGGGCCTCACCAGCTCCCTGGCCCCTGTGCAGGAGAAGATATATTCCAGCCCTTTATGTTGATGGACCTCCTTTAGCCACTGCCTGCTCACCACAGAGCCACATCCCAGTGTGTTGGGTAGAAGATTCTGGAAATAAAACCTTGGCAACTCCTCTGGGGAAGTGGCTGTCCTCTTTCCCCATGGGGCACAGGCTGGGGAGGGGACGGCCATGGTGACTTCTGCACAGTGACTTCCACAGAGCCCCCATATGTGGTGCTGTCTCAGAACAGTGTCCACAGGCCACACACACCGACCTGCCCAGGAGACTGGAAAGACGATGAATCCAATCCTTTTTTTTTTTCTTTTTGTTAGTCCTGGGGATTGAACTCTGAGCCTGGAAGCTGTCCCTGAGCTCTTCAGCTCACGGCACATAAGCTATCACTTGAGACACAGTGACACTTTAGTTTTCTGGTGGTTTATTGGAGATAAGAGTCTCACAGAGTTTCCTGCCCAGGCTGGCTTTGAACTGCAACCATCAGATCTCAGCCTCCTGAGTAGCTAGGATGACAGATATGAGACACTGGTGCCCTGTTGAATCTTCTTCTCATAGATGAGGGATCTCAAGCCCAGGGAGGTCTGCTCAGGTCCCAGTGGCATGATCTGCTATATATATGATCTGCTAAATATATATGCCTCTGTCTCTGTCCCTCTCTGAGCCTCTTTTTTTGGCGTTTGTGTGTGTCCGGTCATGGGGCCTGAACGCTGGGGCTGGGCACTGTCCCTCAGCTCTTCAGCTCAAGGCTAGCACTCTACCACTTGAGCCACAGTGCCACTTCCAGCTTTTTTTTCTGCTTAGGTGGTGCTGAGGAATCGAACCCATGGCCTCAAGCATGCAAGGCAAGTGCTCTACCACTGAGCCACCTTCCCAGCCCTCAGAGCCTCTTAAAGGAAGTAGCACCTTCTATCTGCAGGGCTGTGGTGAGCCCCACAAAGAGTGGGTAAAGCCAGGTGCTGGGTAGTGGGTGTCTATAATCCAAGCTACTCACAAGGCTGAGACTGAGGATCCCAATTTGAAGCAGGCCTGAGCAGGAAAGTCTAGGAGACTCTGATCTCCAACTAACCACCACCACAACCACCACCAGCAACAACAACAACAACAAAAAGCTATAATGGATGCTGTGGCTCCAGTGGTAGACAGAGCTCTATCCTTGAGAACAAAGCTGAGGGACAGCACCCAGGCGTAGAGTTCAAGTCCCAGGAACACCCCGACCCCTAAAAGAAAAAGTGAGAAAAGGCTCCAGTTTAAGTGTGTGATGGCAGAGAAAGAGCAGAAGGCAAAGTTCAAAGTGCAGAACCTAGACATCAACTGTCAGTGTGCGTCAGTTCATCCTAAAGGAAGAGTCTCCAGGCCCTCAGAGCCCTCTGCGGCTCTCACCTGGGTGTTTCTCAGGCCCTTTTACCTCCTGCAGTGTCTGGGCATGGCTCTGGCCCCCTCTTTCAGGTCCCTGTGAATGTGCTGGGGTTCACCATGAGGCTCCCCAGGAGCCCTCAGACCCTTGGGATGAGAGGGTCGAGATGCCCTGAGGTGACCACCCGTGGGGGATGGGAGCGTGCATTCCCCAGTTGGCATTTGCTGTCACCAACGGAACAGGCTGGCAATCAGAAGCAAAGCAGTTTGTGGAGCCCCTTGTGCTGGATACGGGCAGAAAAGGACCCACAAGCCCAAGTACATGGTGCGGGTACTCACCCCAAAACTTAGTTCCTGGAGGACAGCAGCAGGAATCCCTTCTCAGGGCCCTGTTCCCATCCACCTTCCCCTTTGGCTCCACGGTGCAGGTGCATGGCACCACCTGACCACTAGGGGGCGCCCTCTAGTTGAAGAGCAGAGGAGACTCACCTTGACCAAGTGAAGCCTGAACCCAGGACTCAGGCCTTAAGTTCAAGCCCCAGGACCAGCCCATCCATATCCACACCCACACACAGCCCACACACATAAAGTCACCTGCTTCCTCTTAACAAGGGCATGAGAAATTTTGAGCATGTAGTGGTCTTTCTAACCTAAAATTTTCTAATTTAAGAAGAGTGTGTGTGTGTGTGTGTGTGCGAAACCTGCAGCTTGAAATGAGGGCTTAGTTCCTGTCCCTGAGCTTTTTCTTCTCAAAGCTGGTGCTCTACCACTTGAGCTCAAGCTCCACTTCCAGGTTTTGCTGTTTAGTTGGAGATTAGTCTCTTGTTCTTTCTTTTCTTTGCTAGGTTTGAACCATGATCCTCATAAATCAGCCTCCTCTGTAATTCCGACTACAGGAATAGGGCATGAGAAACCAGCTAAAATGGTAGATTTTCATTAACATGTTAATATATTAATTATATTTAAATTACTTAAGCTGTATTTTCATCCTTTGTTTTACTTTTATATGGAATTAATCAAAGGAGATGGCTCACAAGATCAAAGGGTTTTGACATCTCAATCAATCAGGGTCTCACTTGCTCTTTTGCCAGAACCAGGGCTTGAGTTGTCTTTGTCCATGTTCTGCTGTCGCTCTACCACTTGAGCCACAGTTCCAGGGCAAAATTCACTGAGGGACAGTAGAGTACACAAGATGCAAATGACTTTACACCCTTGATGAGGCCAATCTGGGCAGCAAATTCTCCCTAGAGGTTCACTGCTTATGAGCCACAGCTGCCAAAGTAACCATTCAGGAAATATCATCTGAACCCCTGCTCTTCCCTTTCAAGAAACCCTGATCCAGCCAGGTATCAGGGGCTAACATCTGTAATGTTTGTGACTCAGGTGGTTGAGATCTAGAGGATCATGGTTTAGAAAAGTCCACAAAATTCCATGTCCAAAATACTTAAACTGGGCGCTGGTGGCTCACACTCGTAGCCCTAGCTAATCAGGAGGCTGAGATGTGAGGGTGGCAATTTCAAGCCGGCGGGGCTGCGGGCCTGGGACGCGGGGTCCGCACAGGTGCCGGTGAGGCCGCACTCACACACACGGGCGCCTCGCCAGACGCCGGCCGCCGCTCCCCGCGCCCCGCCTCGCCGCGACGCCACCCGAGCCCGCGCCTCCCCCGCCTCCCCTCTCCCCTCCCGGCTCCCAGAACCTGCAGCGCGGAAGCCGGACGGACGCGACCCACGCCCCGCCCACACACCCGCGCCACAGAGCCGGAAGTCCCGCCCGCACTCCATCGCCTCTGCGTTCTTTTCGTCCGCCTCTCGGCGCAGAGGTATCTGGGTAATGTAGTTTTCCCTCCTGGGCAACGTCCATCTCGTGCAGACTGCATCCCTGATGTAGCTTAGCATGTGGGACTTGCTGAGCCCCTGGGCAGGACCGTGAGCTATTGTGTGAACAGTCCTTGCTGCCGACATGTAGCTTTGTCTTTTTTTTTGGGGGGGGGTCCGGTCGTGGGGCCTGAACTCTGGGCCTGGGCGCTGTCCCTCAGCTCAAGGCTAGCGCTCTATCACTTGAGCCACAGCGCCACTTCCAGCTTTTTTCTTTTTGCTTATGTGGTGCTGAGGAATCCAACCCAGGGCCTCATGCATGCAAGGCAAGCGCTCTACCACTGAGCCTCCTTCCCAGCCCTAGCTTTGTTTTTTGGGTACTGGCTTCATCTCTTTGGGACATGCACCCAGGAGTGAGATATGTGCTCTATTTGTACTAAAATCTGCATTTTAAGGAACCCCAGATTGTTTTTCCCCTATGGGTCTGAAAGATCGACCCCCTGTGGGGAGGGCACATGCTGGGGAAGGGGTTACATTTCTGACCCATAAATGTGTGTGTGTGGCTGGGGTGGTTGGGTAGGTGGGTTAGGAGTGAAATTAAGGAGATGAGAATCAGGCCACCAGCAGCCCTACCACTTGAACCATGCTTCCAGCCCTACTACATATTGTGCTGGTTGTTTTGAAGTCTCATAGACTTCCTCCCTAGATTGGTTTGAATCTGGATTCTCTGCATCAGAGCTTCCCAAGTGTTTAGGACTGCAGGCAAGAGCCACCAGCAAGGCCCTTGTGCCTTCAGTGTTTTGTACTGTTTCCTCCTAGCTTCTCCATATTAATAGAGCATGCCTGGCATCTGTATGTGAAGGCCTGGCTTATTTTACTTAACAATCATGATTTCCAGCTCCATCCATTTGCTAGCAATGATATAATTTCATTCTTGATATCTGGTAGGTGAAGCCTGTGTGTGTGTGTGTGTGTGTGTGTGTGTGTATACATGTACACACACATGTATATGTATACATATATATGTATGTGTGCATATATCTCATTTAGTCCTCAAACAGGGCCCATTTTATACCATCAGAAAGATGAAATGGCTGTGGCCCAACATCCCATAGCTACTCAGTGGCAGGGTCTAGTGTCACCCTGGTTCCCCTGATGCTAGACCCTATGAGTAGTAGCCATGTGTGTCACATCCCAAGATTTCCTGCCAGTCCTACACACACCCCACACAGCAGGCAGACAGCAGGCACACAGAGCTAGGCTGCCTAGGTTTTATTCAGACACAGGAGTCAAATCGGCCATGGGTGGACAAGGTATCTGGAGTCCAGTGCATTGCGGTGGAGTCCATCATGACTGGGTGGTTGGTCAGGCACCAGTGGCAAAAGACTCAGCCCTCTAAGACTCAACACCATTGTCAACCAGCGAATTAAAATAAAACAAGGTACACTCTGGGCTGGTGGTGATGGTGCTCTGAAAAAGAGAAACAAGGGTTGTGGAGGGGAGGGCAGGGATGGAGGTACTCTGCATCCTGGGGCTCTGGCAGGACTAGCCAGTGCCCCAGGATCATCCAACCCCCTCACCCCCAGTGATTCAGCCCCATCACAGCAGGAAATTCTAGCTCACAGTGTACCTGCCCCAGCAGGGACCAGAGGCCACTCACAACTATCAAGTTGGAATGTGGACAGTTTCCCCAGTCAGGGAGAAAGAGCTGAGAAGGTTCTGGAGGACATGGGGGCAGGGGAGGCAGTTGACTCTGGGTTTGTGTAAAATCTCCTGTACCTGATGGTATCTGTCAGGTGTGTGGGATATGAACGTGTTCTAAACACACACCTGTAAGCCAGGTGCCAGTGGCTCATGCCAGTAATCCTAGCTCCTCATGAGGCTGAGATCAGAGGATTCAGGTTTGAAGCCAGCCTGGGCAGAAAACTTCCTCTAAGACATCTCTCCAATTAACCCCTAAAAAAACGGGAAGTGGCTCCTGGCTTAAGGGGTAGAGCGCTGCCTGGAGCACAAAGAGCCACAAGGACAGTGTGAGGGCCCTGAGTTCACAACCCACAACAGACAAACAAATTCAAATAAAAAAACCCAATTGAGTATGGGTGTTATAAACAGCCTCAGGCACCCTGTGTGCCTTTACTACTTCAAGAAATGTCTTATATCTGGGTGCCCTGAGCTCACGCCTATCATCCCAGCTACTCAAAAATCTACCATCTGAAGATCAAGATTCAAAGTCAAGCCAGGTTCCAGTGGCTCAAGCCCATAACCCTAGCTATTAGGAGGCTGAGATCTGAGGATCACGGTTCATAGCCAGTCCAAGAAGGAATGCGCATGAGTCTTTGTGTGTTCCAGTGTGTGTATATGTGTGTGGTGGAGCCTGAACTCTGGATCTGGGCACTGTCCCTCAGCTCTTCAGCTCAAGGCTATTGCTCTACCACTTGAACCACAGCACCACTTCCAGCTTTTTGTGTTTATGTGGTGATGAGGAATTGAACCCAGGGCCTCATGCATGCAAGGCAAGCGCTCTACCACTGAGCCACCTTCCCAGCCCCATGCCTATGGCTCCAAACCTCTGATCTTCAGGACTCAGCCTATTAAGTAGCTAGGATGAGAGGTGTGAGCCACTGGTGCCTAGCAGTACTGTCTGATGTTATTCTATTTGCTCATTTGAGAGGAGATTGCCAGGCATGGTAGGAACATGTGGCAGAGCAGGCTGGCCATGCCCCTGTGGTAGTGTCAGCTGTGTGGGCTATGGGAGGGGGGCAGTGTGCCCAGCTGCACACACTGCTGATGGCTGCTGTATTTGGAGGAAGCCATCTACAGTGGGGCTCTCAGGGATCATGTTACCATGACAATGAAATCCAAGAACTTTGCTGCCACTCCGGCCTCATTGTAGCACTCCTGGATCTTCCCGAAGGCTGCCTTCTCCTCCTCCGTGGCACCCACTCCCAACAGGGAGGTGTTCAAGGCTCTCTGGTCCCCAATGGTCAAAACACTGAAGATTCCATAAAACGTGGGACAAGCTCGGGCTGTAAAAAGTCAGGAAAGACCTTCCATTAATGGCCCCATCCAAGCTAGGCGATGGTGACTCACACCTGTCATCCTACCCACTCAGGAGGCTGACATCTGAAGATGGTGTTTTGAAGCCACACCCCGCAGGAACGTTTCTGAGACTCTGATCTCCACTGAACCACCAAAAAGCTGGAAGGGGAGGGAGGCGTGGCCTAAGTAGTAAGGAGTGCTAAGCCTTGGGCACAAAGATCTCCAATGTACCACCAGAAAACTGGGAATGCCTAAAAGTCATAGAAAACTAGCCTTGAGCAGAATAACTCAGGGATGGGCCTAGGCCCAAAGTTCAGGCACCATGACTATTCCCCAACTCCCAAATCCCCCTCCCATTGGAGGCTCAGAGCTTTGAGGTTTCCTCAGGACTCTGGGCAGGGTCCTCCCAACCATCCCTTCCATCTGTTCCTAGATACAGCTTGGAGAGGCCTGTGGAAGGTTCCAGAAAGCCATCTGCCCTCCCTCCTACCTCTCCCACCTGACTGGAAGCCCAGGTCCAACAATAGCAAGGCCAGCACAAGCAGTGTCTGATTCATGGCTCCCCTGCTGGAGGATGAGCTCAAGGCAGGGTTTCTGCAGCTTTTAAACCTCTGCACCCCACCCACCCCCTGTCCAGCCCTCACCTGCCCTGCTGATCCCCACTGCCTAAGGGCCAGGCCCTCCTGAGTCCCCAAGTGGGCCCTGGGCCCAGGGAGTGGGGTGAGTAAACACAGGAAGTCCCTCCCACCAGGAAGCAAATCAAGGAGATGTTAATCCCTATGCTGTGACTCTCTGGGGAAAAAACGTGGTCTGACCCTTTGCCAAAAGAGCAATAACTGCTGACCTTTTTCAGTGCATCCATTCGGAAATCTACATCCTGTTTTGGTAGCCCCCCCAACAATAATCCAAGCTTCCTGACCTGCATGGCACAGAGCTCCCCAAAACCAGGATATGGAGCCAGCCATGGGAACACAGGATAGGTGAGTGGCCAAAAATCACCCAGAAAAAGGCCAAGAGCAAAGAGAAAAAGGTATCTGGTCTCCCTGATATGTGGATGTTAAATACAAAATGCAAACAGATACGACCAAGTAAACAGGACTTGAGAAACAAAAGACCTGCACTCATATGGTCGAATCATTACTAATGACCCCATGCTGCTGACCACATAGATAGTATATTATGGCATACATGCACACATCTGAGGGAAACTAGGAGTTTGACACAGAATCGGAGGGAAATGGGAAAAACATACAACAGAGGGGCCCATCAACTGCACTGGACATTGATTAAAGTGAACTAAGCAACTCAAGGGCAGCGATGGGAGGGAGGGAATGAGAGAGAAAGAGGGAACAGCTTACAGGAAGCAAAAGGAAAGAAATGTGCATTACCATTGGATTTGGGGAAAATAGCTGTAGTGTCCAGCTCTGTAGAGTCCATAAGCTTTATAGACCATAACGACAGCGTGCCTCCTGAAGGTTGGAGTGTTTGTGACTTTGACTAAGCATCCCTTTCCCACAATACTGAGAATTTTGAGGAATTTGCATAATCATTTCCAATAAAGAGAAAAAAAAGAAGATTGTGCTCTACCACTTTGAGTTACAAGTCTAGTTCTGACATTTTGGTGATGAGTTGAAGATAAGAGTTTCATGGACCTTCTTACCCAAACTGGCTTTAAGCCATGATCCTCAAATCTCAGCCTCCTGAGTAGCTAGGATGAAAGGCATGAGTCTCAAGAGGCAGCAGTCTTTTACTGTGGTCTAAATGAGGAGAAAAACATAAGGGGGCCAGAGCTGAGGGCTGAGGTGTCCTGGCTGAGGTGTCAGGAGACCCCAAGTTCTGTCCCCAGCACTGCTGAGGAAGAAAGCACTAGCACATTGGGCCACCGGCTCCAGGGCTCCTTCTCAAGGGGACTCAGGCCAAGGTCATAAGAACAAAGACCAAGAAAGTGTCATGGCTCAGGATGTGGACAGCCGATGCTGCCCCTGGGATCTGGCACCTGCTTCTGGTGATAAAGGATGAGTATCCTGTTTGGCCCAGAGTTCTAGTTCTTCTTCTTCTTCTTTTTTTTTTTCCCAGACGTGGAGCCTGAACTCTGGTTCTGGGCGCTGTCCCTCAGCTCCTCAGCTCAAGGTTAGCCCTCTACCACTAGAGCCACAGTGTCATTTCTGGCTTTTTCTGCTTATGTGGTGCTGAGGAATCAACCCAGGGCCTCACACATGCAAGGCAAGCGCTCTACCACTGAGCCACTTTTTTTTTTTTGCCAGTCCTGGGGCTTGAACTGTGGCCACAGGCACTATCCCTTAGCTTCTTTTGCTCAAGGCAAGCACTCTACCACGCGAGGCAGATTTATGGCTCAGTGTAGAGCAATGGCCTGGCTGGCATGAATGCTTGTGTTGGATGTCCAGCATTACATAAAATGTATAAGAAGATCTATGAATCGGGACACCAATGGCTCACACTTGTAATCCTAGCTACTCAAGAGGCTGAGAGCTGAGGATTGAGGTTCACAGCCAGGCTGGGTAGGAATGTCTGAGAGCCTTTGCTCTCCTATAACCAGCAGAAAACCGGAAGTGTCACTGTGACTTAAGTGATAGACCACTAGCCTTGAGCTGAAGAGCTCAGGGCCAGTGTTCAGTCCCGAAGTTCAAGTACTATGAACGATCCCTCCCCCAAAAAAGATCTACAAAGGGTTGGGAGGCATATGGGGAGTGTTGCTGGACAAGACACAGACGCTGCAGGATGGAGGGGGTTCCTGGGTGTGGACCCCACAGAAGTGGAGGTCACAGCAAGTGGCTTGACTCTTGCTCAGCCCCCAGCTGTGCAGCGTCCTGAGCAGGAGAAGCAGGGATGAAATCCAATCCCACAAAGCTGTGCGGTGCCCCCTGCACAGGTGACAGCCAGGGCGGCAGCACATGAGTTATTAAAAGAAAACTAGTTGCCGTGCATGGTCGCCTCTAGTTACTCAGGACACTGAAATCTGAGGATTGAGGTCAAAGACAACCCAGGCAGGAAAGTCCATGAGACACTCTTTGTGTTGTCAGTCCTGGGGCTTGGTCCCCCAGACCCCCCCCCGGCGATGTCCCTGAGCTTTTCCACTCTAGGCTAGTGCTCCAGCACTTTGAGCCACAGCTCCCTTGCAGCTTTCTGATGGTTCATTAGAGGTAAGAGGCTCACAGACATCCTTGCTTAGGCTGGCTTTGAACCAAGAACACCAGATTCAATGCTCTGGAGTAGCCAGCAGGAGGGATGTGAGCCACTCCTTACTCAGCCTCCTGAGACTCTTTATCTTCCAATAATCACCAGAAAACTCAAAGTGGAGCTGTGGCTCAAGTGGTAGAGCGCTCATCTTGAGTAAAAACAGGCTCAGGGACAGGGCCCCAGACATCCACATGTGACCAGCCCTGTGGCTGTTGGGGTCAGGAAGATGTTGTCCACCCCTCCAGCCCCCATGGCTAGTGAGATTTTGGGGCTGCTATGTCAGCTGACAGGTGTGGGGAGGGGACAGCCAGCTCCCTCTGTTGACTCAGGATATTGTCCTTCGCCAACACACACACAGGCCCTGGATCAAGGCTGTGTCGGGCAGGTGGAGGAGGGGGTATGGGCAGGATGGGTGCTCTCCACAGGAACCTCAGACCCAGGCCCCTCCCTGAGCACTGTGTGCCAAGAACAGGGATAAAAGGGCCCTGCGCTGGGTCGGGGAGCACCTGTGCCCACCGCATCATGGCTCCCACTAGTGTCCTGGCCCTGCTGGGTGCTGTGCTGCTCCTGACCACGGGTGGACGTGGGTGCTGGGCTCGGGTGCTGGGTTCGAGGCTGGGCGCCGGGGGACGGGCTGTGAGGAGGGCTCACCTTGCCTCTGTGCTCAGGCTGTGACATCTGCCCAGCTGTGCGCGAAGACGTGAACGTGTTCATCCACGGCAGCCGGGAAGAGTACGTGAGCAAGGTGGCCAAGTACCGCAGCGAGCCCGTCTTCCTGCAAAACGCGGCCACACTCAAGGCGTGCGTGGACGGGAAGCTCACCCCCCAGGACAAGGCGCTGGTGGACAGCGGGCTGGTGAGTGTGTCCAGGGCCACCAGCTTGAACACAAATGCTCACGAAAGTGCCCCGGTCTGAGATCAAGCCCCAGGAGCCCCTCGCCCCCTCCCCAACAGCCCTGTCCTGTCCTCCCCTTCTTGGCACCCCCTACTGGGGAATCAAATACCAGCCCCCCCCAGTGGTGGTGGGGCTACATCCTGAGGGGTGCAGTGGGGGCTGAATGTGGCCCCAGAGCCCCTGCTCCCTCGCCAGGTACCCCCACATGCCCACCCAGCCCCACAGGTCACCCCTGCAATGACAGCCCCTCAGACCTCTAGGGAAGCAGCCTGGGGGGCCCGGACCCCTGTCCGTTCCCACCTCCTAAGCCCCACTGCAGACCAGGCTGCAGCCCCTGGGGTGCCGGGTGGGGGGTCTGCGGGCTCCCTGCCCCCCTGGGCCTCACCAGCTCCCTGGCCCCTGTGCAGGAGAAGATATATTCCAGCCCTTTATGTTGATGGACCTCCTCTCAGCCACTGCCTGCTCACCACAGAGCTCCACACCCCAGTGTTGGGTAGATGGTTCTGGAAATAAAACCTTGGCAACTCCTCTGAGAATTTTGTGAAATTTGCATAATCAATTCCAATAAAGAGAAAAAAAAAAAGATGGTGCTCTACCACCTTGAGTCACAGGTCTAGTTCTTACATTTTGGTGATGAGTGAAAGATAAAGAGTTTCATGGACCTTCTCGCCCAAACAGGCTTTCAGCCATGATCCTCAGATCTCAGCCTCCTGAGTAGCTAGGATGAAAGGTATCAGCCTGGGGCTGGGAAGATGGCTCAGTGGTAGAGTGCTTGCCTTGCATGCATGAGGCCCTGGGTTCGATTCCTCAGCACCACATAAGCAAAAAGAAAAAAAAAAGCTGGAACTGGTGCCGTGTCTCAACTGGTAGAGGGCCAGCCTTGAGGTGAAGAGCTGAGGGACAGCATCCAGCCCCTGAGTTCAGGCTCCACAACCGGACCTAAAAAAAAAAAAAAGAAAGAAAGAAAGAAAGGCATGAGCCTCAAGAGGCAGCAGTCTTTTACTGTGGTCTAAATGAGGAGAAAAACATAAGGGGGCCAGAGCTGAGGGCTGGGGTGTGCTGACTGGCAGAGCCCTGGTTTCAGCCCTCAGGAGACCCCAAGTTCTGTCCCCAGCACTGCTGAGGAAGAAAGCACAAGCACATTGGGCCACCGGCTCCAGGGCTCCTTCTCAAGGTGACTCAGGCCAAGGTCATAAGAACAAAGACCAAGAAAGTGTCATGGCTCAGGATGTGGACAGCCGATGCTGCCCCTGGGATCTGGCACCTGCTTCTCGAGATATCAGATGAGTATCCTGCTTGCCCCAGAGTTCTAGTTCTTTTTTTTTTTTTCCAGAAGTGGGGCCTGAACTCTGGTTCTGGGCACTGTCCCTCAGCTCTTCAGCTCAAGGTTAGCCCTCTACCACTTGAGCCACAGTGCCATCTCTGGGTTTTTCTGCTTATGTGGTGCTGTGGAATCAACCCAGG